CCTAAAAAATTACTTTGTGACCTAAAAATTATTAATTGTGACCAATAAATTGATAAATTGTGACCTAAATAAGTATTGTGACTCGTAAATTTTGGGATCCGTGACCGATGAACAAATTGTGACTTTCAAATTTTTAATTTGTGACCAATAAATAAATTGTGACCTATGAAAATTTTGAATTGTGATCTAAAAATTTTTGAATTGTGACCAAATTGTATATATCTGTGACCGTGATATATTTATTAATAAAACATATAATTAATTAAGTAATTCATAAATAAATTTAAATAAAAACCTGATTTTTGAAATTTAAAACATCTAACCTTAATTTTGAAAATTGTAATAAACAAAAACCTGATTTATGTAGACTTCTCAACATAAAAATGTTTGTTTGATGATGATAAAGTCTTAATATAGCAGTGGTAACCAATTTTTTGTAGTTTTTCTTTATTTTTTTTTACATGTTTACAGAATCAATCCCTAACCTTAAGCGCTCCTAGCAAATTTCTTCCTAACCTCTAAAATTGATTTTTCATCCTCAACTTTTAGTTCCATCTACATATTCCGTCATTTTAATATATTTTCGTGGATATTAATTTCCTCATATGTGAGATACACAAGCTAATTTAATTTTTTAAGGGTGGTAAAATATTATATCTAATCCAATCTTTTTATAATATATCTTATCCAATCTTTTAAACCTTTTTTTTTTCATTTCAATTTCAGAATTTGAATGAAACCCTTTTTTTTCACATAAATCTTGACAAATTTTGTTATATGCACGACTTACAAAGAACGTTGTGCCAAATGTTCAAAGAAGACGTCTTTGCACCTCTTGACAATTTATTTTATGTTAATTTTGACTGTGTTTGGTAACCATTTTTATCATAAAAATATATTTTTCCTGTCAAATAAGTGGGACCCGCCTGTGATTATGCACTGACTGCAGGAATTCCAATTTACCGGTGTTGCCCTTACTATAGTTAATAATGCATTTTGAATAAGGGCTCATTGGTCATTTTAGTCCCTATTGGTCAAAAAAGTATGTCCCCCTCTCTGCCACTTGTGCTGCATACCCTGCCAATGGAATTGTATAACGTCTATAATTTTTCTACAATTTGGATGAAAATGATTACCAAACGCAAGCTTTGTATGAGTTTCGCTATTTTTACACCGGAGTGTTGGGCCTCTTTTATTGTGAAGAGGGTCGTCCGCCCTTTTTGTATTTATGCGGAAGAGTAAGTATACTTTTCACCTATTTTTCTACTTTTTAAAAAAGTTCATGTAGAAAAAACTAAATGCACAATATAATTGGAAGGCACAATTTCTGTCCTACATAGGACTGGAAAATCTCAAGTCTAGCCCCTAGTCCTAAGGGAGAAAAAAATGA